TTGAGTGGTTGTTTGTCCCAAAAGAGGAAGAGTGGAACCTGGTGAAGGTTGTGGACGCATGCCTGGCACTGGAGGGATTGTGCCTGTTTGCAGTGGTGCTGTACCAGCTGAGCCTGTTGCTGTTCCTGGACTTGGAGGAGATGCAGTGGAGGTGACTGATACGGTAGTGGAAACTGGAGGTACAAGCGTGGTGGTGCTTCGCTGTGATGCTGCCTGCGTAGCGAGTAGTGTGGTGCCTTGAGTGGTTGTTTGTCCCAAAAGAGGAAGAGTGGAACCTGGTGAAGGTTGTGGACGCATGCCTGGCACTGGAGGGATTGTGCCTGTTTGCAGTGGTGCTGTACCAGCTGGGCCTGTTGCTGTGCCTGGAGTTCGAGGAGAAGCAGTGGAGGTGACTGATACAGTAGTGGAAACTGGGGGCACAAGCATGGTGGTGCTTCGCTGTGATGCTGCCTGCGTAGAGAGTTGTGTGGTGCCTTCAGTGGTTGTTCGTCCCGAAGAAGGAAAGGTGGATCCTGGTGAAGGTTGTGGACGAGTGCCTGTCACAGGTGGGATTGTGCCTGTTTGCTGTGGTGCTGTACCACCTGAGCCTGTTGCTGTGCCTGGAGTTGGAGGAGAAGCAGTGGAGGTGACTGATACGGTAGTGGAAACTGGGAGAACAAGAGTGGTGGTGCTTCCCTGTGATGTTGGCTGCGTAGAGAGTAGGGTGGTGCCTTGAGTGGTGGTTTGTCCCAAAAGAGGAAGAGTGGAACCTGGTGAAGGTTGTGGACGCATGCCTGGCACTGGAGGGATTGTGCCTGTTTGCAGTGGTGCTGTACCAGCTGAGCCTGTTGCTGTGCCTGGAGTTCGAGGATAAGCAGTGGAGGTGACTGATACAGTAGTGGAAACTGGGGGCACAAGCATGGTGGTGCTTCCTTGTGTTGTTGTCTGCGTAGAGATTAGTGTGGTGCCTTCAGTGGTTGTTTGTCCTGAAGAAGGAAGAGTGGAGCCTGGTGAAGGTTGTGGACGTGTGCCTGTCAGAGGTGGGATTGTGCCTGTTTGCAGTGGTGCTGTACCAGCTGAGCCTGTTGCTGTGCCTGGAGTTGGAGGAGAAGCAGTGGAGGTGATTGATACCGTAGTGGAAACTGGGGGCAGAAGCATGGTGGTGCTTCGCTGTGATGCTGCCTGCGTAGCGAGTAGTGTGGTGCCTTCAGTGGTTGTTTGTCCCGAAGAAGGAAGAGTGGAGCCTGGTGAAGGTTGTGGACGTGTGCCTGTCAGAGGGGGGATTGTGCCTGTT